CAGACGCCCAAGCAAGAAAGATTAATCTTTCCAGTGACATACACGACAATTTCGGATCACATTAAAGAATCCATAAACCAAAACTGGCGCATGATGAGCAATGACACCAGTCTACCATGCCAATTTCAAACAAATACCAATGATGTGTTATAGGAGAGGAAAGAACCTTAGGGACCTATTGGTCAAAACTGACCCCACACATTGTTATAACCAACCCTCAGCCCACCTCAATTTGGGATGTTACAGATGTTTGGGGTGTGTAACATGTAGCCACATGCTACCTAACAAGACATTTACCCACCCCCACACTGGCAAAACGTTTACCATTAGACATAGACTCACGTGTATCAGTGACTTTGTGGTGTACAAACTTGTATGCCCATGTGGTTTGGCATATGTCGGAAAGACGGATTTACCGCTGAGGGAACGCATACACAACCATCGGTCGAGCATAAGAATTGCATATCGAGACAAAGGCTCAGAACAACCAGTTGCGAAACATTTTTGGGAACACAACCATCCTCTACCATCTATGAAGTTTATTGCCATTGATCACATTCCCCCACCAATAAGAGGCGGTGATCGGAAGAAAATCCTATTACAGAGGGAACTACATTGGATTAGGACTTTGGACACCGTACAGCCCAAGGGCTTAAATGAAAAGTATTCATTGGGTATTTTCTTATGAACATGCTCTTAGGCATTTATCCAATGTAAAACCTACCCCTCTACAAGACTCTCTGTACATTACTTTATTTGATATAATGTGGACATTGTTAGATATTTATTATCTTTTTTTGCCCATATGTGGAATATTCCTACTTTTTGATATTTTTGATATTTTTGATATTTTTGAATTTGATGCTTTTTTGACATGTCAATTTACTAGACTTCTTGTACTGTGTATCTTGACTATATGATTGTTTATCGATAGGCCCTTTGTCATAAGCAGTGTAGATAAATGTATGGCTAGTAATTACTTTTTCACCTAGTCAGAGGTCATGACTACACCACTAGGGGGCATTGCGATGTTAATATGTTTTGTCAGTGGATTTATATTCTCTTATGGATAGACACATAGCTTATTCTTCACAATTGTGACTAGTTGCACACAAGGTGTTTTTCTACCAATACAGTAGATAGCAAGATAACACTGTTTAACATTGTTACTTATTTATAGAAGTCTCATTTGATACATTTTACACACCTTGTTCTCTTATAGTAGACTATGTACCTAGGTTTAAATATTTAAATACATAGAGCCAGTCGATCTTTGACAGGGATTACACCTTTTTTCACACTCACTCATATTGTTTGCATTTAAGGTTGGAAGCGCCTACACAACAATATACGTTTTGTATATTTGATCTTTGACAGTTGTTAGCCATCTCTCCTTTATCATACCACATAGGTTTATATGAATTAGCTATCAGTTATTTATGATGTCCTATTTATTTATAATGTCCTGAGTGCTTATATCTATGAGCATTTGCTCGAGATACCTATCGCTATTACCATCTTTCATTCTCCTATACCATCTGTTGCCTATGTTTTTCCTAATAATCTGTTGATCAAATCAGATGCCGCTCTGTCATATTGCATATATAGATCACACTGTGGAACGTGGCACGACCGGGAGGTTGCCATAGCCACTATTGAACAGACGCTCTGTCAATCTGTATTTCTATTGGTAACAATACATACTCGGTATTGGAGATTACTAAAAGATTATGACATCTGATTTTATTATCTTTCGCTACTTATGTTTGGTGTACCCAGACAGCCTTTGTCAGAAGCTGCCCTCTTATTCTTAATACCGATCGCACTATGAAGCTCCAGTGCGATCGGGGGGTTTCCATGGTTACAAGTAAACAGACGCCGCCGTGCGTCCTGACGGGTTGTCTGGGTAACCCTTGATACGCAGTGGTTTCACAGCAGCTACAGCTGCTGTACACATGTAACAGAACGGAGTTTAGCCCGCGTTTTTTTGGCGTTCTGACAGCAGCATGATTTGGGTAAGCTCCAGCTGTATTCTTTGTACTTGATTGTGTATGTTATTTATTTTGTTAATTTGGTATGCACTTGTATCCTGACGAAAGCTCCATGTGTGAGCTGAAACGTTGATCACTGTTGGCGGTTGCTGAATAAAGCTAAGTTGATTTCTTTTCACCGTATATGAAGTCCTTGGAGTGCTTTTCACAATTCTCTCTCTCTCTCTATCTATCTATATATATATATATATATATATATATATATATATATATATATTATTATTATTATTTTTATTTTTTTTAAGGGCTAACACATGATGTTTTTGTTTAACACAGAGAATACACTGAGAGAGTCAATATAGGGGGGCAACTATCAAAATATCAAAATATAGTAAAATAATATATATATATAAGGAAATAGATTTGCACTAAGGAGTTAGTAATTTTTAGAGTAAGAGGAAATATTTTTAAGATAATACCAAATTACATAAATAATTAGAGAAATCTCAACAAATACGTGTACTAAGATTAGTAGTTAGAGGGATAGAAAACACAATGGTGTACTACAGAGATGAGAACACAGAAATAATTATTGCACAAATATTAAGCTATTTAACAAATAATTGTCACAAAAGGAATGAGAAACGGGATAGACATGAATAAAAGGAGAGGAGGAAGAAAGGAGAAGAAAGGGGAAAGAAACACTAGAGATATTATAGAGGAATAGAAAGTTTAGGATGAAATTAAAGAAAGGGAAAGAATAATATAAGTACAATTAGTTCATTAGGAATAAGGGGACTTGTATATTGATTTTGGTTTTTCTTGCGGACATAATTTTATTAATTTCTCCCGGCCAGAGAGAGAATAATCTAGCGTGCAAATTTTTCAACTTTTGCGAGTCTAGAGAAGGGGGTACATATGACACTCGATAGAGAGTAATTGTTGTTATATGGCCTTCCCTCCCTGTTGATATGGGATATCCAGGGAAAGAGGAGTAGATACATAGATCTATGCCTAAGAAAACACAGAATGTATATAGATTCGTTGTTTTTTAAATGTTTGTATGTTAAGATGGTGAACCTCCTAGTCCTTCTGTCAGAAGAAATAGAAATAATCAGTTAAAATGAGATTAGCAATGATCAATGCACAAGGGATTAATTTGTGAATTAAAAGGTATACAATTTTCGAATATTTGAAAAAAGAGCAAATCTATATAGCTGCTCTTCAAGAAACACACTGGAAATTAGAAGAAAAAATTAACCTTAAGTCCAAGCTGTTCCCTATTATAATTAGTGCATCTATAAGTCATACAAAAGAGGAGTAGCCTTTTTGTTTTCTAAAAATATTTTGTTAAAAATGTATTCATCAGGAACTGGATACAGAAGGCCGATATCTAGTTTTGGTGTGTGAAATTAATAATCAAAAATATACGTTGGTTAATATATACGCCCCAAATCAGTCACAAGTTACATTTATTAGGAAGGTGTTTAATAAAATTGATCGTGTTAAAATGGGTAGAGTTATTATTATGGGAGACTTCAATTGTGTTTTAGATGTAGATCTGGATAAAAGCCCTAAAGTAAAAGGTTGTAATAATAAAAATCGAAAGGTTAATGCCAAGAAATTTTCAGAACTGGTTAAACATTCAGAGTTGGAATATTGGAGGATATTTCATATGAAAAAAAAAAGATTTTTCATGTTTTTCTAAAACTATTTCCTCATACTCTAGAATAAATCTAATTTTAGGGGATAGGAACTTAGTGAAACAGATTAAAAAGATCTTTATAACAGCTAATTTAGCAGAGATCAGGCCCGGACTGGCCATCGGGCACACCGGGCAAATGCCCGGTGGGCCGCGGTGGCCATGGGCCGAGGCCGGCAGGGGAGGTCCCAGGATCTCCCCTGCCGGTCTATGCAGGGCCGGCACTCTCCCAGCGCCGGCCCCGCTTTGTGCCACGACGGGCCGGTGGGGAGATCAAGGATCTCCCTGACCGGCCCACATGCGGCCGCCGGCGGGGAGGGAGGGAGACAGCCAGCCAGGCTGGAGAGAGGACTCGGCGGAGCTCTAACTTGCAGCTCCGCCGGGTTCCTCTCGCGAAATCTGGCGCGTTGCCATGGCAACGACCGGATCTCGCGAGAGTGAACTCTAGCCTCACAGGCTAGAGTTCACTCACCCACGAGGACCACCAGGGAACACCGCCACCCTGCCTGCCAGCGTGCCGGTCCCCCCCTCCCAGGCTAAAGGTAAGAAGGGAGGGGGGGACATAATGCCTGTTTTTTTTATTTTTTTATTTTTTATTTACCCCCCCTACACACACACACAATAACATTTATACAGCACTCTCACACCCATCACACTCACAGCACTCTCTCACAGAGCACTCTCACACACAGCACTCTCTCACAGAGCACTCTCACACACAGCACTCTCTCACACAGCACTCTCTCACACAGCACTCTCTCACACAGCACTCTCTCACAGAGCACTCTCACACACAGCACTCTCACACACAGCACTCTCACACACAGCACTCTCACACACAGCACTCTCACACACAGCACTCTCACACCACTTTCACACACACAGCACTCTCTCACAGAGCACTCTCACACACACACAGCACTCTCTCACACAGCACTCTCACACCCATCACACACAGCACTCTCTCACAGCACTCTCACAGAGCACTCTCACACACACACAGCACTCTCTCACACAGCACTCTCACACCCATCACACACAGCACTCTCACAGAGCACTCTCACACACACACAGCATTCTCTCACACAGCACTCTCACACCCATCACACTCACAGCACTCTCACAGAGCACTCTCACACACACACAGCACTCTCTCACACAGCACTCTCACACCCATCTCACACAGGGCACTCTCACACCCATCACTCACACCGCACCCTCACACACACACATACTGCACCCCTCACATACACACAGAACCCCCCCAACTCACTGCACCACACACATACACAATACTTCCAAATATATATATGTGTGTGTGTGTGTGTGTGTGTGTGTATATATATACACACACACACACACACACACACACACACAACACTCTTAAAGGACCACTCTAGCCACCCAGAACACTTCAGCTTAATGAAGTGGTCTTGGTGCTAGGTCCTTCTAGGGTTAACCCATTGTTTTATAAACATAGCAGTTTCAGAGAAACTGCTATGTTTATCAATGGGTTAAGCCTTCCCCCAAAGCCTCTAGCAGCTGTCTCATTGACATTATAAATGCTTTCCTATGCGACCGGCTGAATGCGAGCGCAGCTCTTGCTGCGCGTGCGCATTCAGCCGACGGGGCGGATCGGAGGAGGAGAGCTCCCCGCCCGGCGCTGGAAAAAGGTAAGTTTTAACCCCTTTCCAGAGCCGGGCGGGAGGGGGTCCCTGAGCCACATATGCATCACATTACACCACAAACACAACACGACTAAAACCGACCTTATTACACAATACCACACCGCGACCAGCTCACTCTACACACACGCAATACCGCAAGCAGGCTCCAAACACATGCACAATACTCTTTCCTGGCCTTTTGTCTCCTGGTATCCATTTATAGAGACACCAGAGACAAGTTGCAAGGAAAGACAGTGCAAGCATGTTATTAAATTTGCTTGCACTGTGCAGAACAAATACAGGACTTTTTTCTCATGCTAGAGCTCTTCAGCAGAGCTCTGCGCATGGTCTGCCCTGGAAGAGCATTGAACCAACATGCTCACTTTGAGAGGAGGCGTGTTTGTCATTGGTGATGACAAAACACACCTCCTATGCCCCGCCCCCTTTTAAGTGGGCCGCTGTGTTAAAAAAATGCCCGGGCCGAATTTTTCTCCCAGTCTGGCCCTGGCAGAGATGTACATAAAACTGGATAGTTTGCTCTATCAAAAAAAACAAAAACCCTTTGAATAGTATTACCAACTTAATAACAGTAGTAGATAAATTAATAAATTAATTCTTAATGGCAAAAGCTAATAAGGCTCTGATATATATGAAACGGAAGAGGTATTATATGGGAAACAGATCAGAATCATTGATGTCAAACAGACTGAAAAAGAAAAAGCTAAAAAGGTTATCACTAAAATTAGCCACAAAGGTGAAATTTTATTAAGGCCAGAAAAAATAGGAGAAGCCTTTAAAAACTTTTATTGTGACTTATATAATATTTCTAGTCAAATTAACAAATCGGACATAAATGAGTTTTTTAATAATATTAAAATCCCGAAAATTACTCATATGCAATTACAAAAACTGAATAAAACATTTCAAGAGGAAGAATTGATATTTTGTATTAATAAACTTAAAAAGAATAAATTCCCAGGGCCAGATGGATTTGATAACCTATTTTATAAATTACTAAAGGATAATATTAAAACAGACCTGACAGAGGTTTTTAATTCTTTCAGAACATCTAATAACATCCCGGCAGAACTATTACAAGCCAATATAGTCCCAATTCCTAAGCCAGAAAAGGATACAGAAAAAAATAAGAGCTATCGCCCAATTTCGTTATTAAATACGGACATTAAATTGTATTCGGCCATGATAGCAGAACATTTGAAAAAAAATTATTCCAGATGTGATCAATAGTGATCTATTAGGGTTTTTTATTATACTATTAAAATGTATATTTTACCAAAGTGGTTATATCTGTTCAGAATGATCCCCTTGAGAGTCCCTGACAGCTGGTTACTATTGATTCAACAGTCTTTTTCTAAGTTTATATGGCAAGCAAAAAAACAAAGAATGGCAAGAAAATTCATCTCGATAAAGCAAACTCATGGAGGGGTAGGATTTCCAGTAATACAACAGTATTACAAACATGGCCGTCAACAGGAATTTTTCCAGAGGGGGGGGGGCATAATTGTAATGACATCCATGCTTGGCCCCTTTTTGACAGTGTCATGAAAGGAAAGGGGCATAGTCATTATCATATAAAGCCAGGGTGAATAACGTTTTCACATCTATGGTGTCAGAATACATGTTTGAATTCCTGACACTATAGTGTTCTTTTAAGCAAATTAAAGGAACATTCTGGTCACCATAAGAACTTCATCTAAATGAAAATGCTATGATGCCAGGAAAATTCCCTGTTTGAAAATGTAGTCTCACACATTAAAGGACCACTATAGTTTTCCTGGCACTATAGTGGCCTGAGGGTGCCCTCACCCTCAGGGTCCCCCTCCCGCCAGGCGCTGGAAGGGGGAACGGGGTTTAAACTTACCTTTTTCCAGCGCTGGGCGGAGAGCTCTCCTCCTCCGATCCGACCCGTCCGCTGAATGCGCACGTGCGGCAAGAGCTGCGCGCGCATTCAGCCGGTCACATAGGAAAGCATTCATAATGCTTTCCTATGGACGCTGGCGTGCTCTCACTGTGAAAATCACAGTGAGAAGCACGCAAGCGCCTCTAGTGGCTGCCAATGAGACAGCCACTAGAGGAAATAGGGGAAGGCTTAACCCATTCATAAACATAGCAGTTTCTCTGAAACTGCTATGTTTATGAAAAAATGGCTTAACCCTAGCTGGACCTGGCACCCAGACCACTTCATTAAGCTGAAGTGGTCTGGGTTCCTAGAGTTGTCCTTTAAGCTGGGTTGAACTTAAGAAAAAAAAGGACAAAGCCATAGAGAATGAAATTTGTTGCATTTCATTCTCTATGGCTTTTTTTTTTGTTTACTAGGTGTGAAAACATGCAAAAAAGAACTTGTTTGATAATGTAATAGAGCAGCAGGAAATGCTAGCAGAATGCTTGGTTGTATTGGGAGAGGTATAAGTAGTAAAAAGAGGGAAGTGCTCATGCTATTGTAGAGAACACTGGTGAGACCTCACTTGGAGTATTGTACACAGTACTGGAAATACAAGCCGAGGACCACCAGCACTGCACCGGACACCAAAACCACCGCAGACTCCGCAACCGCCTTATTATGTCTCTCTTTATTATGTCCCTTCTCTCTTTATTCTCTCTCTTCTCTCTCTATTCTCTCTCTTTATTCTGTCCCTTCTCTCTTTATTCAGTCCTTTCTCTCGTTGTCCCTCTTTATTCTGTCCCTTCTCTTGTTATTCTCTCTCTTTATTCTGTCCCTCTTTATTATGTCTCTCTTTATTCTGTACCTTCTCTTTTTATTCAGTCTCTCTTTATACTGTCCCTCTTTATTCTGTCTCTCTTTATTCTGTCTCTCTTTATTCTGTCCCTCTTTATTCCATCCCTTTTTATTCTGTCCCTTTTTATTCTGTCCTTTTTTCTGTCCTTCTTTATTCTGTCCCTTTTTATTCTGTCCTTTATTCTGTACCTTTTTATTATGTCCATTCTCAGTTTTTCTGTCCCAGCAGGGAGAAGGAACCAAATCCTGTGAGTCCCATGACTTCCACGAGATGCTGCGACGTCAAAGAGATTGCGAGAACTCAACCTGAGGTCACTGCACGTCCGTCTGTGTTCTTGCGATCTCTTGGCCCCCAGTGAATCCTTGAGTGCTGCTCAGGACCACAGCATTCAAAGATCCAGAAATCCCATGCGTCCTGAGCAGCACTCGGGGATTCACTGGGGGCCACAACAGACAGATTAGCCAAACTACCTGTGGGGCCGTATTAAACCGGAACACGGACTGCAATTGGCCCGCGGGCCAGACATTGGACATGACTGATTTAAAGGAATCCAAGAGACTGGAAATTCCAGGAACTGAATAAAGGAATGAACCAAGAAAACCCAGCATAAAGAAAAACAGACATAGAATAGAAAACCAGAAAAACTAAACAAGAATTGTAAAAAGAGTACTGGATACTAGAAGCCATCGACAGAAATAATCCGCAGCAGGAACAGGATGTGACAGTAATAAAATAAAAGCATTTGCTAAGCAAATATAGACACACCATAAACACTTCTTTGATAAAAACATTATATTAATTGCAATATCCAGATCTTGCACGGAAAGATTGTACAACAAATATGCAATATTTTATTGTTTTTTCAATGTTTTTTTTTCACATGGCTGCTTTTTGGCTATTTTAGTCACAGTTTAGTTATAGCTTTGAAAATAACCTAAAAATGTAGGAATTAATAAAACTTCTCCAAATAATGGCATTATGCATACCTTTTTATACCAGTCCAGAAGAGGGGTGTCTTTATACAATTCATCCATTCTAAGAGGGAAGAAGTAGATATTTTTATAAGGTGAGAGAGTTGGAAATTTCCTTCTTGTTTGTGTTTGATAATCAGTTGAATCAATGTCAGGCAGACCCTTCATGAAAAAAGCCACTGGTCGTTCAGGATATACACGAGCAGCTGACTCAATTGAACACAGCACCAAAGGAGGAGGATTCATCCTTTCAGATATCTCAAATAGTATGACACCATTTCCTTCACTCAGGACATCATCAGGAGTTAACATTTTTAAGGTTTTATCTTCTGTATTTTTCATATATCCAATGGAATATTTTGTGTGCATGAAGTGTAATCTAGTGAGTAAACCCAAGATGGCGAGTAACACAAAAAACATCAATTCTTTTAGATACTTTATCACAATTGCCATGTTGGATGATCAAACTGCAGAAAAGTTAAAGGAAAATGTAAAAAGAATGTTAAAATGCCTCTAAACATTTTAATTCAGACACTTTACTTGCAGTTGCAATAACAACCTACATGAGATCAGCCTGCAAGGAAACTTTGATCTGGCAGCCCCATTGTCGTGTACAAGTCTAGTTTGCCCATGTCAAACATTTTATTCTGTCATTTCAATGGGTTATTGAAGAAAGATACAAACAGTAAATGTGCTTATAGAATAGCCGTCCATTTTTCTTTTAACTAAAATTGCATGAGCATATTTTCCAGTCTTTATTACTCTTTAAACTCTTGGAGTTTGACATTTTAACTGTTGTTTTATCTAATTTCCATTGCTACCTATTCCAATCCATTCTCACCCAACTCCCACTCAACTCAGCCAAGTCTTCTTATTCCTCCAGAACATGTATTACCTCCACATTACTATATCTACTGTAATTATTTCCATTAAACAATGCATTCACTCTATGATTTCTATTCTTACCTTTAAGGCTCTCT